AGTTACTCAGGAGGTGGGAGCAAGTTCATGCCCGCACAAAGTTAGCAAGACCCTATGTCAAAATTAAAACAAAAATAAAAGGGCATATGGCAGAGCTCAAGTAGTAGAGTGCTTGCTTAGGAAACCAGAGGTCCAAAGTACTAAAACAGAAGGATACACATATGCCAATGATTTAGTTCCCAACATCAAGATTTGAGTTCATTTGAAAAGTTGAAAAGATCAAAAACTCTGTCTTCTTTCTTTCTATATTAGCTCTTCCTTTCTGCATGATTGTTCCTGTTCCATCACCCACTAGAAAAAATCACTTAAAAATTAAGGAATTAGAGTGCCTACTGTGTAAAAGCCATTTGGAAGTTCTTCAGGGAGCTCATTCTTTTATTCAGTACCTCAAGGTATCAGTCTAGGTACTCAGGCCATAATATTGAAAGATACACAGTTGCTAAATTCCAGGAAATCAAAGTCTTATAGTGAGGAAGCACACAAATAATCTGGCATAATAAACAAGATAGATATTTTTATAAATGTAAGCGTAATATGCTATGAAAACAAATGAAAGGGTAAACTAATTTAAACTTGGAATAAGAAAATATACCTTAATAAAAGTGACATATAAGTTGAGTCCAAAAGATAAAAGAAAGCAAGTGAGGCAAAGAGGGAAAGGTGAGAGAGAGGAAAATAGAAAGCATAGGACACTTGGGGGACACAGGGAGAGGGCAAAGGAAAATCAGAGAGAACACAGAGACAGAGGGAATAAAAATGATTACATTTAGGAAATTGCATGTTCATTATGGCTTGAGGATAGGATAGGATGAGAACAAGGACAAAGCAAAAGGTGCAACTAGAGAGATGAGTAGAGTCAGATATTAGGGCTTTGTTTAAGAATTTGAATTTGTACCAGTGGAAACAAGTACCAGTGAAGGTACTTCTATTTGGGAGTGACAAAATTGCTTGAGTTTCCGTAGAAGATCAGATTGAGGGGGGATGCCAGACTGGAAGTCAAAGTTGTTGCAGTAAGTCCTGGGAAAGACAATGGTGGCTTTTGCTGTGGGAGGGGTGTGGAAATGGTGAGGCATGGTCAGATTCTGAAGATACTTAAGATGTAGAATGTGCTGGACTGGTTTGTGCTAGATTGTGTGTAGATAGTGAGAGAATGGGGTTAGTTCAGAATAATACTCTAGTTTCTAACTGGGAAGGTTAGGTTCATTGCAGTGGTATTTACTAACCTCAAAAACACAGGGAGAGAAGCAAATTTAAGAGGAGCAAACATGACGAATTCATTGACCATGTTGAGTGTGAAATGCACAGGTGGAGATATATCGTAGGAAATGAAGACACCAGGTTAATATAAGGAGCTAGATCTGGGCTTAAGTGATGTGTCTATGTCTGTATGTGTGTGCTATAGTAATTAAAGCCACAGTTTGATGATACCATCTAGGGAGAGTGTATAGTAAAAACGAAAAGGTTAAAGTCAAATTCATGCACTTAAAATATTAGAAGAGTTCTGCCAATTATAATATAAGAAGATTTCTGCCAAAGAATGTATGTTACAATAGAAGCAATTTGTATAAAGATGTGTGTTAAAAATGACTTGAAAAACATGATCATCAAGGGTCCAGTCACAGGTACAGGTTACCTGGGCCTCGTGGTAGGGACACGTTGGAGTGATAGAAAAAGCCTCTTGAAGAGAAAGGTATTAAAGAGAGGTTTTGAAATTTCATTTGGAAGTTTTCAGAAAGATAACTTAAAAATTACATCAAAATCATGTTATGGAGAAATTTAAGTGAAATGTGCCTCCATTTCCAGGTCCTTTGAATTTTAAGGTGTCTACAAAAGGCAAATGTAGCGTGAAACCAGAGAGCCCAAACCTCCGCAAACACACAGCTCTGCTTAGTCCAGAGAGACAAGATCCCCAGGTCCCCTCTCTCATGAACATTTGAGAAGTTTCTTGTTTTTCTTTGGGTATAGTAGTGTTTAACACTATTCTCTTTATAGTGCAGCATGTGTACACGGGCATGTGTTTGCACTTGCTTACTCAAATGGTCCACATATGATCATCTTCTCAATTGGAGGCTCTTAGAGACCATCTCACCTTACAAAGATGGGAACTGAGACCCTCATTGTGAGGCTTTTGGGTGAACTTATTTACTAGTCTTTTTTCTTCACAATTAATGACATGATGGGAGACTAGATTTCATCATAGTTAGATGATGCTCAATGTCAAGGTCACGCTAAAATAGAATGTTTCCACACAACTTTTTAGGCAATCTCTTTTACTTACATTGGCTTCTCTGGGACCACTTTTTAACCACCATCAAATACTGATCATCTGGTAATCCAAATACCTTGTAATAAAATTAACTAAATCTTCATATTTATTGTCATATAGGTCTTCAGTTAATCATATGCATTTAAATTAACTGGATACATAAATATTTGATGCTTAAGTAAATCTTTATTGTTATTTTCACAGCTTATATAAGGAAGGCATCTTGCAAACATGATATAAAAAGAATCTGTTAATATCAAATTACAATGTACTGATAGATCATCTAAAAATCTATTATCTTCCCCAGCTCCAAAAAAAACTCTATAATCTTAAGAAAGCACATGTTCTGCAGAACCTGTAATAAAATATTTCAAAATATTTTAAATGTGTACAAAAGACATCAGTTCACATAAGAATTAATAAAAGCTCATTTGGGTGACATTTCAGATGAGAAGGAGTTTCAAACAAGACTTCCAAGTAAACCTAAACCCACTCAAGAGTTTGATTATCATTATTGACAACAGTGCTATGCAGTAGAAAGTTAACTTGTACCACAAATACAGACTACCTATGTCATTAAATTTGTCTCTAGTAGCCATGTTAAAAAGTGAAATTAATTTCAATCTATTTTGTTTGCTATCATACATCTATATTATTTGAATACGTAAGCATGGAAAAACTTACTACTAAGATACTTCATCTTTATTTTTTATATTTCTTTGAAATACAGCATGTATTATACATTTATAGTACATCTCTATTTAGACAAACCACATTTCAAAAGCACCATAGCAGACCTATGGTCTATTCTAATAATTAAACGCAAATATATAAGCACTCCTGTGTTATAATGATGGCCATCACTACCTATTATCTTTTCTTACATGCCAGTCACTATGGTGATTTCCATGTTTTTCTTATTTCATCCTCAAAACAGTCCTAGATGCTATTTCCAAACCCATTTTCTGTATGAAGTAACAAGAGAATTAAGAGGATTTCTGTGGCTTGCTTAAAGCTACAGTGTTAACAAGACCAGAGAGATTCAAGCATGCAGCTAGACAATTCTATTGAAATGGAGTTTATAATTTTTTGTTTTATAAGATTTTGAATTTATAATTTTCAGTAAAGATAACCAATTTCACTTTAGGGGAAAGCAAATTTGTGGTAAAGTGATTAAAGTGATTTAAAAATTGGGCCATTGCACTATTCACAATAGCCAAGTTATGGAAACAGCCAAGATGCCCCACCACTGACGAATGGATTAAGAAAATGTGGTACCTATACACAATGGAATTTTATGCAGCCATGAAGAAGAACGAAATGTTATCATTCACTGGTAAATGGGTGGAATTGGAGAACATCATTCTGAGTGAGGTTAGCCTGGCCCAAAAGACCAAAAATCGTATGTTCTCCCTCATATGTGGACATTAGATCAAGGGCAAACACAACAATGGGATTGGACTTTGAGCACATGATAAAAGCGAGAGTACACAAGGGAGGGGTGAGGATAGGTAAGACACCTAAAAAATAGCTAGCATTTGTTGCCCTTAACTCAGAGAAACTAAAGCAGATACCTTAAAAGCAACTGAGGCCAATAGGAAAAGGGGACCAGGAACTAGAGAAAAGGTTGGATCAAAAAGAATTAACCTATAAGGTAAAACACACACAGGAAATCAATGTGAGTCAATGCCCTGTATAGCTATCCTTATCTCAACCAGCAAAAACCCTTGTTCTTTCCTATTAGCTTATACTCTCTCTACAACAAAATTAGAAATAAGGGCAAAATAGTTTCTGCTGGGTATTGAGGGGGTGGGGGGGGGAGAGGGAGGGGGTGTGGGCAGTGGGGAGAAATGACCCAAGCCTTGTATGCACATATGAATAATAAAATAATAAAAAAAATTGGGCCATTGCCTCATCTTGCTTATGGGGGAAAAAATGAAGGAGGAGGGGAAGAAGAAGAGGAGGAGGAGGAAAAGGAGGTAGAGAAAATGAATGATAATACTACAGAGATAATGATGTCAAAGAAAGTAGCCACAGGACTTATAAAACAAAAAATAAAAAGTAGGAAGGGGGTAATAGTATATCCTAGATGCATGTTTGATGAGATGATATGAAAGAGAATTAATCTGTGGTGAAACACAAAAATTTGATAAACCTTTGTATTATTGAGGATGCTGAAAGAAAACCAGTAACAGAAGTGTTTAGAAAACTAGAGAATTGATTTTGTTCTAAATATTCTAAAATGTGATGTTACTCCAGCTTGATTTAGCATAATATATGTTGTCTAAAGAACTCTAAGATAAATAATAGGAAAGTCTGTTTTGGACAAAATAAATAATGAATGTGAGGGTCAGTGGTATGGAATTGAAGGTCCAGGAAAATCATTCATGAAAAATGTTATGTCCTTCTTCCAGGGTTTCTATGGAATCTCTGTACTGTTCACTGTTCATTGCAATGGTTCTTTCTTCCCTCTACCTAACATTGAAATTTGCCCAATTTTTATTTCCATCAGTTTCCTAATCTCACTGTCCTTTCAGCCTGCAACTTAGATCTCTTCTTCTAAACACCAGGCTATATTTTATCTGTCATTCAAACCTGGAATCAATTGACTCCCCAGAAGTCTTCCCAAATCACATATGGAAAGATGGTATCCTCTATGGAGGGGAGCAATGGCTTGGATAATTTATATGAAACCCCCTCATCCCATGTGTTGAGTACTGCCGTAGGGTAAAATCTATAACCTGGGGTCTGGTTTACTTTCTAACCTCTTTCCCACCTCAACAGTCACATAACTGTGGTTCAGACCACACAATCCTCCTTGTTGCTGAGGTTGATATCCATTTTCCTCAGCATCTTCCCCTGCTCCTCTTGCTGTTTGTCTGTGAGTCTGCTAAAAAATTCCAACGGAGAGTATTAATATTCACAAGAAGCTAGAACACAAAAAGAATTGATGGGCCAGGAAGTGCTTTACTTCTGTTCCTAGAAGAGGTCTTATCTAACTAGCTGAATGAAGGGGACATACAATTGAAAGAGAGCATGAGCTTAGAAGTACACAAACCAGGGAGACCCCAAGAGTTATTTGTTGTTAATATTACTTATAGTATTTAATCTTTCTGGCCTCAGTTTCCTCATCTAAGGTAGTGATAAGAATACGTACGAAGCAGAGCTATTTAATATATTCTTATATCAATTAATTTGGTGGGTAGGAAATAACGTGCCATTTATATATTAAACACAGATATAAAAATAAAAATAATTTCTTGCCTTCAAGAGATATATAATAGAACAAAGGGACAAAGTCAAATATTAATAAGAACATTTTAAAGTAAGAGTAAGTATAGGATACAGTGGAGGCAGAAAAAGGGGAATTAGTTATTTTACTTTGAACGATGTGAAAATCATCTAGAAAAATCAGGTTATATTATGCTGTTGACATGTGAGCTAGAAGAAGGATACAGAATTAAGGTATTCTAGATATTTATTAATATATTCATTCACTCATTTCTTCATTCCTAAGATACGCATATTTTCTTGTCTTCACAGTGCCTGCAGTCAATGTGCAAGAGAAAAACTATGTTAACAGAAGTGCTCCAAACAGAACTCCGTTTACCGACTTGGAAAATTAAGTAATACTACCAATTTCTTTTGGAAAATAAACTGATTAATAATCAGGACTCAGAGAAAACTCATAGTCAGTAGGCTGCACTCCAGTAAGCCTACACACTCCTCTCCTTGGTTTAGTTGCATGCCTGCCAAGAATTAGTTGTATTTATTCCCAAACTATTTATGCCAGTTGACTTATTATTGTACCTTAATAAGGTACAATATAAGGTACCTGTAATATAATTAAACATTGATTACATAATTCAGTGAAGTAGAGTGTAAAATGAAAGAGTTGCTTCTTTGAAAATGAAATTGATTATTTTGGAAAGACTCACTAAAAAACAATTGCTAAAAACTATTTCGTCAAATTAGGTAGAGAAGATACAAGAGAGGGAAAGACTCAGAAAAGCTCTACACTCATATTGGTTTGTAAATATCTGTGTTTTGATTCCACTTTAAATAAAATGAAGCCAGAAACTATAGGTGTTGCACTATGCTAAACCAATACTACATGGACCATCAGTGAACGCATATTCAAATTAAGGGCCCTTTCCCTACGTCAAAAAAATGGTGAATGGCTGTGCATTTACATGAATTAGGTTAAATAAATGTTTAATTTTATCATTCCCTGATTTGAATCAACTTTATTAGCAATCATATTGGATAAGATGGCTTCTGGGAAAGGAATATGGTGTATGTTAAGATACAGAAAGTATTGGGATCTTGGAAATCTATAGGGGGAGGACCTGATCAATCCTAAAAATCTCTGAAGTATAAATGAACAAGGAAAAGGAAAGGAGAGCATCCAATGCAAAACAGAGACAAAAAGAGACAGAAGGAACTGGCAAAAATTCAGTGCACCTGGACTATGTAGTCTGAGAGTGCACAAGGCAATTCATTTGGGCTGGTCAGCTGGAATCAGACTCAGATATTGGAAAGCCTGATGAATCATGATTGATCCTTGAACCTTATCTTTTTAAAACAGGAGGCCATATTATCAGATTTGAAGTATGAAATGAGGATGGACTGGTAAAGAGTAAAATTGGAGGAGATTAATTAATCTAAGAAAGAGATGTTGGTAATCTGGATTAAGGTAGTGGCACTAAAGATGGAGATATATCAATGGATTTTAGAGATATTTTTAAAAACTTCAGAGGTAGCATAATCAACTATAGACAAGATGTGTCTATAGTTGAAATGTAGGGGGTTGAAAATAGTGTGAAAGTTCAGTTATTTCCTAGTTTCTGGTTTAAGAAATTAGGTGGATAGTGAGCCAGTCATGGTGGCACATGAATCCCAGCTACTCAGGAAACAGAGGTAGTAGGATCATGGTCCTAGGCTGACCTGGGCAAAAGCATCCGACCCTTTCTGAAAGACAAACTAAAAGCAAAAGGACTAGGGGCATGGCTGAAGTGTTAGAGGGCTTGGCTAGCAAGTATGAGGCCTGGAATTCAATTCCTAGTGCTGCCAAAAAACAAAAAAACCAAAAAACCAACAAGGAAAAGAGGAAGAGAGGAAGGGAGGAAGGGAGGAAGGAGGAAGGAAGGAAGCAAGGAAGGGAGGGAGGGAGGAAATTAAGTGGGTAGTGTCACTTGTGCAAACGTGCAACTTTAATAGAAAAAGAGGTTGGTTGGACAGTATGGGGAGGACAATGAATTCTCCTCTGGAAACACTTGTGCTTATGTCACAAGACTAAGTAGAAAAGCTGTATGACCAATTCTGCATAAGGTTCAAGGAAGTAGAAAGGCATAGAAATAGAGGACTCTTTGGCATTGTATGCATATACAACAATGGAAACCATAAAGGATATAGCAGATCTCCCAAAGAGAGTTAGTTAATAAAATATAAAGAGTAGAAAAGACAACTAGTTAGGAAAGAGTCCTGGGGAAAGAGTATTGGTATATGGGTAGAGAGGAAGTAAAGCCAAAAATGATTAATAGAGGAATAGCCAAAGAATCAAGAAGAAGAGGAATGTTCAAGATATTTGTTGCTGCTGATTGAAAAGTGCCCAGTGCAATTTGGAGTATATAGGTTATAGGTGTCCAGGATTGAGGTCACAGTTGGGGGAATGTCTGGAGCCTAAGTCTCTGGAAACTAAACTATACAGTGGGACAAGGAATAGGGAGGTTGACAAAACAGAAATGGAACAATGCTGTTATTTTTGCTGTTTCAAGAGTTGCATGCAAGGTGGAGTATGAAAGAGAAAAGCCTGAAAAAACTGGAAAGGGCTGGTGTGGAAGTCCTTATATTTTAAGCTAGATGGGGCTGAATTTTGTCCCATCGGGAATATGACGTATTACTGTGTGTACAGTAGAAATTAGCCTCTATAATAGAATCTAGCTCCCTTGAACAACAGTGTGGTACGTGGAATTAGCATATGTGTGAAATTTAGTAAAAGGAACTAGTGAACACAACACCCAGGAGTGTTGCAGTTTGCTACGAAAAATGCAGTACCCAAATTTGCACACAATTTAAAAAGCTTGAAGAGATTCAAGTTTACCTCTTTCCTAATGTCACTCTTACTTTTCTTCTGGTATATTTTCTGATGGAATGGGAAAGAAGGAGGTAGCATTAAAACCTAAATGGCCTGTGGCCGTGAGCTACACATGTGAACATTACCGATCCAATTTTGTCATCAGGAAAGATTGAAGACTTCTGAGTAACAGAACATTGCAATCATTGAAGCAGTGATGAAAAGGTCATAGAGCACTACTATCAACAGAGGAAGGACTGTTCGAGTGAAGTTCAGATTTAGAAAGAGTTGGATTCAAAAACTGATTGAATGTGAGACATGTAACATCATTCCCCAAGTATTAATACTCTTTATTGAATGCTTTTGGTACGTCTAACACTTCAGGAACAAACATCATCCCATTCCTTCTTCTCAACAGCCTTGCAATGTATATTTTTTATCTCCATTTTACAGATAATAAAACTAGAGTTTCAAGAGTCAATCAATTTTCCTAAGTTCATCCACATTTTAAGTTGCATAGCCAAGGTTCAAATTCAGATTTTCCAGATTCAAAATCATTACCCAAATCCAGAAGGACTACACATTTGCTTGTATGATAGTCACATCAAATTCAGACTATAAATACAAAATAAAGATTGGGTACAGAGGAATATGGTGCGTTCAGTTTTAAACATACTCTGTTTTTGAAGTCTGGAGAATGTCTCTGGTGAAGATGTCTAATAGACAGTTACACATATAAGTCTAGAATTTAGGAGAGATGTCTTTGAGGAGATAGAGATTTATGAGGTATTAGAATTTCATTTGTGACTAAAGTCATGGGAATGGGTGAGGTTTCCCAAGGAGACTGCAACATGACAAGGGAATCAAGTGGAGAGCTAAGAAACATCAAAATGAAAAAGGAGGTCAGAGAAAAGTGAGGGAGACAGGGAAGGAAGGTGAATACAAGTTAGAAGGAAATAAAAGATGGTGATTTCACACCAGACAAAGCAGGAGAGTTTTCTAAGAGAAGGAAGTAATTGAAGCACCATCAGTTGCTATGGAGTAGTCATGGAAGAGGAGGACTTAAAAAGTCTAGTAGATTAAGTGTGAGTGAGAAATTTTAAGTTATGGCATCAGTGTTATCTACAGTCTGGGAAGATATATGTGTGAAAGAAGATCATAAACCTTTGCAAGGGCAATCACTGGTGCATTTATAAAGCCAGCAGTTGCATTCTAGGTATTTTTCTAAGGAAACAATAAATTTGAACATTCATGTCAGCACTGTTACGACAGCAGTTGTATCACAGTAGTTAAGAGCACCAACTCTAAAGCCAGATGGCTTGAGTTCAAATCTTAAGTCTGCCATTTCCTAGCTCTGTGAACTTGGGCAAGTTGCTAACATTTCTCTGCCTCAGTTTCTTTATCTGGAAACTATGGATAGTAAAATTATTATTGTTATCAATATTGTTCTTGCAGGCTAATTGAGTTTTAAAAGAATTAAAGGAGTTAATTTTATAAAGCGTTCACAACAATTCCTAACACATACTAAGTTCAAATTGAGTATTTGCTAAATTCATACAGATAAAAGTAAGAAAAATAAGCAATAATAAAATTGTGTAAAAGAACTCATTTATGTACTGTGATACCACACAATCATGAACATTTATGTAGTTTACTGTTTATCAACATGGAAAGATATTAATGGATTAAATTAGGAAAAATTTATAAACCAAAATGAATAGAGTAAGTGAAAACAGGTAAGTAAATATTGGATACACATTGACAATTTTTAGAAAGCTATACAACAAGGTATTTATAAAACCTAAGTAGTTGAG